GGAGTATAGCAGGCCACTGAGATGAAGATTCAGTCAAATGCAAGATCTAGACGTGCCAAAAGCCAGAGACCTTTCTCAGAGCTTCTCTTTAGAACTGGCAGCAGGCCACACCCTGAAGGCAGCTACTTAGCTGTTCACAGCAGATTCCACCATGCAGTTGATTACCGATCTCATCATGGGGAGTAACTACATCCAACTGTCCAACCACTCAAAACGATGGCCCAGCCAAATTGACACACAACCTTAACTACCATAGTAGTGATGGTGCTGGGGGTAGTGATAGTGGTGGTGCCGGTGATTGTTCTGGTGGTGATGGTGGTGATAGTGGTAGCAGTGGTGATGGTGATTGGTTTGGTTACCTAGTGCCGCTATGACAAGAATATATACTACAAATGGGATGGCCTTAACAAACAGGAGTTTATTCTCTTACTGTTTGGAGGCTTTAAGTCCAAGTTCAAAGTGCCAGCTCTAGGGGCTGGGTGAAAGCCCTTCAACCTTGGGGTCCATCTCTGCCTCTTGCTCCTGGCCCACTGGAGCTAGAGGCAGTTCTTCACCCATACAGCTGCTGGCTGTGAAGGCTGCCAAGCCCAAAGTTGACAAGTAAAAAGGCACAGTCCTGATGTTACTGAACCACACGACAGGCCATTAAATTAAGTCCATTGTAAGTCCCAAGGTTGGCAGAGCATGGCAGGCTGCTGAACAATGACACGACTACATGCAGGGTCCAAGTGTGCTATAGGCTAGAGACCATTCCTAAGGCTTCTCCTTATATATAGGAAGCAGACCACATTCCAGAGGCAGCTACTCAGCTGCTTATGATAGATCCCATCATGGAGCTGATTGCCATTCTCATCATATGAATAACTACCATTAGCTGCCCAGCCATTCAACCAGGCCCAGCCAAGTTGACACACAAACTGAACTACCACAGTGGTAGTGGTGGTGACCGTGGTAGTGATTATGGTGGTGGTGGTCATGATGACTGGTAGTGGTGGTAGTGATGGTGTTGGTTATGGTGGTGATGGTGGTGATAATGGTAGTGATGGTGATGGTGGTGACTGTGGGATGATTATGGTGGTGGTAGTGGTGGTGGTGGTGGTAGTGATGATGTTGGTGATGGTGGTGGTAGTGATGGTGTTGGTTATGGTGGTGATGGTGGTGATAGTGGTAGTGATTCTAGTGGTGGTGGTGTTGGTAGTGATGGTGCTGGTGCCAGTGGTGGTCCTGGTGATTGATTGTTCTGGTGGTGATGGTGATAGTGGTGATAGTGGTGGTGATAGTGGTAACATTAGTGATGGTGGTGGTGATGATGGTGGTGGTGGTAGTGATAGTGTTGGTTATGGTGGTGATGGTGGTGATAATGGTAGTGATTCTAGTGGTGGTGGTGGTGCTGCTAATTGTTCTGGTGATGATAATGGTAGTGATGGTGGTGGAGATGGTGATGTAGAAAGAAGACTGGTAGTGAAGATGACAGAATCAGGATTTGCCTAAGGCACTTGACTGCTAACCAGACGGCTGGCGGTTCAAACCCACCAGCCACTCCTTGGAAGGAAGATTGGGCAATCTACTTCCGTAGTGATACCACCTTGGAAACCCAAGGAGGGGTTGCTATGAGT